TGTTCTTCTTACTAATCCGTTCATATCAGATCAGGTCATCACACCTGTGATGTTTAAAGTGTGAGGAGGAACATGAGAGGAATCAGAAGGGAGAGATGAGGGAGGAAGAAGTAGTATCTGATGTAGTAGTAGTAGTAGTAGTAGTAGTAGTAGTAGTAACATGATCTGTGACTTATGGCACAGATCATTGAACTCATTTTCAAGAAGAAGCCCAGTGATTGGTCTGCCCTATGACCCGCCTTCCTCAGAGATGATGACGTTTAAACCAATCACAACCCTTCGCGCGGAATTTCAAACCGTTTCAAATGACCGTCCCTCCACCGAAGCGATATCTTTCCGCCATATTCCAAAACAAAATAGTCCCTTCTATACAAATACGCGTAATGTTTCATCCAAACTCACAGATAAATATTAAAACACACAGGAGGACACAACAACACGAATACTGAATTTCAAAACACGTGTTTTTCTGAGTATTTGTGGAGTTTTTACTGCGGGTGTGTAGATCGGCGGAGTGATACCACAGTGCAGCTCAGGAAGAGGCGACGAGACTCGGCCGGTTAACGAAGCTCATGTTAGTCGTTCGTCCATGTTGCTTTTAACGTACGGTAGAATATCCACGGTGCTTTTAGTCTGACATGATATTAGAGTGAAAACCCTCTTCGACACATCCCGCTCGATGTTTATGGATGGTCCGAAGTCAACGTGTCTTTGAACGGAACTACAGGTAAGACTGCAGTGTGTGTTTATTCATACAGGATTTATCACTTTATGTCTCAGTGGGTTTTATCTCATTGTTGTTGCTAATGCTAATGAACGAGTTTTTACTCATTGACAATCTGTATGTGATGAGCTAATGTTTTATATCGTGACCACGGGGGAGACACGTGTGTTTAAACCCACAAGCTAATATGAGAAGCTAAATAACGTCGAATCACACGCACTAAACATGCAGCTAGCTAGTCAACGTTAAATACCGTCGCACACGTTTCCCTCAGTTTGTAGCGTGTTTTTGTTGTAACGATGAAATCCCATGTTTGCTGTAAGCCCACCTCTGTGCTGCAGCTCTTTAGCTAGCTGTTTTGACACGTGTGTGCTGTGTACCCATAGGTAACGTAACGAAAATGCCTTTACACGGGAAAATAGTGGTGATCAAGAGGAGTGGAGGCGACGGCACCGAGTTTCCTCTCACTGCCACATGCTTGTTTGGAAGGTGAGCTCAATTAAATGTGTTTGGTCGAGATCGTCTTGTTTTCAGCCTTTCTGTCACTGGTTTGGATTTCACATCCAGATGTTCCTCTTAAGTGTAACAGATAATTCAAGCACACGATGATGCAGTCAACATTTTACTGCGTGTGGTTTGATGAAGGGACCAAGTGTTGTAAAAGTCCTCTGTGGTTTGGAGGCGGGCCATCAGCTAGTCACGTCAGACTCCTACACACATGTCCCCTCCTGTTCAAACAGGAAGATCTGCAGACTCCTCCAGTTCACTACTTTACGTTACATGTACACATGTTGGAACATTATATTCACTTTACATAATAACAAAATGACTTGTGTATTAGGTAAGATGACCCTCATACATGAATTGTTGGACCTCACATGTTCAACAGCCACAGCAAGTACCAGTTTTACAGTTCAGTGCCAACACACCTTTAGTGATTGTGTTGCTTGTTTCTTTTCTCCAAATAACTGATGGTTGTCAGTTGCAGGTATCATGGTGATGTTTAGATTACATGTTGCTAAATGTGTCTCTTGCATCTTACAGGAAACCTGACTGTGACATTCGTATTCAGCTTCCTCAAGTCTCCAAGGAGCACTGCAGAATTGACCTTAATGAAAATAAAGAGGTAACATTACTTAGTACTGAGCATGACAATATGAACATATGTGTTATAGCCTAAATTGTGATAGAATAGTTGCAAGTCATTTAATTGTTTAATTTGTAGATATGTAAGATAATCTTAGATTGACAACTGAAAATAACTGTGACAAACAGTATTCTCCCTTTAGCTACTTTGCAGACAGTGTTTTGGAGTGACCTTCATTTTTCTGTCTTCCAGGTTGTTTTGACAAATTTGAGCTCAGTGAATCCGACCCGAATCAACGGGGAGGCTCTGCAGCAGTCTGAGCGTTTGAAGCATGGAGATCTAATAACAGTTATTGACCGTTCTTTCAGGTGAGTCTTGCAAATGGTTCATTTGCTGTCCTGTTTGAGGGACAGCAAACCCCAGAGACATATTTCCCATTGCTTTCACTGTTGAGATGTAACTCTTTAAATGACTTGTGTATTATAGTATTTGCCATTAACTAATATATGACCCTCACATCAACACAACCTCACAACAACAGCTGCAAATACTGTTTTTATTGTCACTAAAGGAGTCATGCGACAACTGTCACAGCAATTACCAGTTTTACAGTTATGTCTGAAGGTTCAACACACACATGTATGTTTTGTTGACTTGTTTCTTTTCTCCACTTACCTACATGGTCATGGGTATTTAATCTAAGAATACAAATGTTTTTTTTTCTTAAAGAACATATTCTGGACAGAGTGGACTCTCTGCTCAGGCTTTAATTATTTTAATGACCAGTGTAAGTGGATCTTAGTTACATTTTATTGCACTTTGTTGTTTCAGGTTTGAGTATCCTCCAGCCCCAACACCAAAGAAGAGATCCACCACAGGAGGCAAAACTGAAACCCTCAAAGTAAATTACTTTTTTACTTTAACTAACAGATTATGACTTCAACTTTCAGCGGTCAGAGCGCCTCACATTGTGCCTTTTCTGTGCATAGATTGTATAAATGTGTTAAGCACAGTGTCTTTTGCCTAGGTTCTTCAAGATCAGCAAGTGGTGGACACTGTCACTGTTGAAACAGGAGAAAAGAAGATCTCTGAAGTGTTCACAGGTGAGATTGTCCGATGTTGGTTAATCTGAATTAGCACAATGAAAGTGCTACATTAGAACATAGCATGTATTGATTAGTTTACTGAAACTGAAAATTGTTGCATAATTAATGCATTTAAAGGTGAATAGCATTTAATGTTTTTTATGTACAGTGTGTCCCAAGGGCAGGGATTTGATGCCTGTTTTTTCTTTAGCCTAGGACCTCAGATTTTTGTTCCAGTTATATTTGGACTGTTAAGTGTACTGGCCATTGATGCAAAATGTTTTGGTTTATCTGTTTGTAAGATGGAACAAATCATGACAACATTCAACGAACCCTGGACAACACAGTGGAGGTGGAGTCCAAGGAGGATGCCACCCTGCAGCAAAACAAGACCAACTCCCCATTCAGTGATCTGTATCAAATGATCAAAAAGTCTCTGGATGTCAAGACCCCACGCAAGTCTTCTGTCAGTTTGCTTCAAACTCCTGCCTCAAAGTTTTGCACCCCAAAACCTGCATCTGTCAGGAAAAGTGGTGTAAAACCTGTCATTTTCAAAGAAGACAAAGACACCTCTAAGATTGAGAATGAGGCTGAAGTCATTCCTGAAGCTGAAGAAATCAAGGGGCAAGATGAGAATTGTGATACTGGGACTCCAAAGTCTGTCAAGAAGCAGAGGAAGTCCTTCCAGAAATCTTGTGAGAATCCCGGACCTGCAGCTGAAGGAGTTGATCATGCGATCAAGTCCGAAACAACTTCACCTCAGAGGAGAAACCGTGTAACCCCCCAGAGGTTTAGTGCGGCAGAGATTGTTGAGCAAGTTTGTGCTGAATCTCCAAAGTCACCATTGAGAAGAAGCAGCAGAGAGACCACACCAGTTAAATCTGCAGTGACTGCTGTCAACACTGAACAAGTTCAAAGGAAATCACCAAGAAACTCTGGGAAAGCTGAACAAGGTATTGAACACTCCCGTCTAATTTCCATTAAAGTGTTTTGACTCATTTGCAATAATTATTCATTCATGTGTGTTAAGTATTCAGTGGCTGACAACATGACCAGTAACCTTTTTTATTTTTAGTAAATGAGGTGACCAAAAAGCGCAAAAGTGGAAAACTTGCAGCTGACTTGCCCACATCACAAATGAAGAGGAAGCGTGTTTCCTTTGGAGGTTACCTGAGCCCAGAGTTGTTTGATAAACGACTTCCTCCTGACTCTCCATTATGCAAGGGAGCCTCTCCACGGAGAAGCTTGTGTCTGCATAAGCCCAAACAGTCACTCCTGACACGAGCATCAGCCATTGGACTCTTGAAGGTAAGATTTTAACAGAGATTGTGACTCAAGTATCAAAATGTGACCATAAAATGTGCTATGACTCACATTATCTTATTTAAAATGTATCTTCTTTCAACTAAAAAGCCATCAAGCACCAAGAATGCTTCACCTAAGGGCTCTACAACTGGGAAGAAGTCACCAAACTCAAAGTCCTCTTCTCCCAAGGCAGCATCTCCTGGAAGGAAATCACCAAACTCAAGGTCTTCTTCTCCCAAGGCAGCAACTCCTGCAAAGAAATCGCCCAAGACCCCATCTTCTGTAAGAGGAAGTTCTCCCTCAACTCCCACAGTGCAAGGGCGCTTCTCTGTGTCCCGCATCAGCACACCATCCCCAGTTGCAGAAGACTCTGTCACTGACCAGGTGCCTTTAGTCATGGTTACCCCCAAAATACCTCTGAAGAGGAAGAGCATGAAGAGCTGCTCAAGAAAGACCCCAACTATTGCCAAGAGCGCTGTAAAAGTGATCCGCAGGAGTGGCATCTCACGTGCCTCTATGAAAGGTACATTATACCCTGAAGTCTGTAATATCGTTTACATTAGAAGTCTTTTCTTTTGTCTTCCCATTATCAACAAAAGCAACATCTACTGTGTCAAATAGACTGACGAGTGAAGAGCAAAGTTATAAAGGAATCAAACTGCATTTATCATTCACGTATTCTTACATGACTTAAAGTATGTCACCACTGCTGTTTATAACTATTGAAATGATAAACAAATATAAGCAGAATTTTCTTTCTCCTTTCAGTGAAAAATTCCTGGGCAGACATTGTGAAATTTGGTCAAACTAAGCCTCAAGTGGTTGCTCCAGCTACAAAGATGGTCCCCAAAAAGACCACAAAGAAGACTGTGTCCAAACCACAGGTAAACTGAGATACCATAACAACAACATGGCACACAACATCATTGCTTCTTTCCAAGTCTTGCAACAACTAACTTGTTGGATATATTAGTAGTTCACAAAACACTGGCTCATTGTAGTTGATCATATTTTAACGTCAGTATACCATGAAACACATTTTGTGAGGTGGTAATAAGAATCTCATACTGTTGCAACCCTAGTAACAAACACCAAACTCTTTGGAGATTTCTATTTTAGGGTTTGATGCTGAATATTAGTGATAAACCCTGTTTTTAATGCCCGCTAATTTTTAACAACTGTTTATAGTCTCAGTTGTTTATAATCAGTTGGACACGTCTTGTGGTAGAGTGGACATGCTCACCACAGGAAGGGAGTGGGAATAAAAGGGGCACCTTTCTTCCTGTTACAAAGTGAATTAACAAAGTTATTCTCATGGAAATTGTTGCTCTTAGTAAAAAAAAAATGAATAAAATCTCTAATAACTGTATTTATCAATTTCTTAGACACCCGCAAGAAAACTCAAGGGCCACGTCGGCACTGGACACGCAGATTCACCTGCTACCATTGTTGTGGGCAGAGCTCACAAACAAAGCATCTTACAACAAACTGGTGCGGCGCCAAGAGTGGTCACCAATATTGTACTCTTGAAAAAGAACATGAAAATGGATGAAGACTTGACTGGTATTAAGCATTTTCTGGTCCAATGAATTTGATTTGATAGACTTTGTCCTTTATTGTTTTGGCTTATGTTGTGCATTGTGGTTTCAGGAATTTCTGAAATGTATAAAACCCCAGTAAATGAAAGGAAGAGATCAGCCATCAATAAAAGTGTCCCCGAAACACCAGGGGGAGTGGTCGAACCATCAGTTCTGAACACACCGGAGGGGCCAGGTAAAGTGTGATAATACTGTTTCTCTTGAAACAATCTTTCCATTTCACAAAGAGGAACTGTTGTATACAAATATATTAATGATGAATTTAATGTCTGGAAAACAACTAAACCGTAGAGCTGAATTATGTTAAGTATGGGACAAGAAGACACGGTTTTAGTTTGTATTATATCGTTCATTTTTATGTTTTTTGTGTCTTCACATGGGCTAAACACTGCGTGAAATTAGCAGTTAATCTTTATAATTACAAACACTAACAGGGTGTCGAATTAGACTAAATACATTTATAAACTAATGAAATGTGGTGTTTTACAGGGGAAATGGTTGTTTCTCCCCTGAATGTGGCATCTACAGTGAAAGACAGAAGTTACAACAGTGAAGCAGTTCAACGCCTCCTGAATGAAGATAAAGACTCCAGCTTTGTCAGTGTGATCCCTGCGTTAGAGACTTCCTCTGATGTGAAGACAAGCCCTGTAAAAACTCCCAAACAGAAACCAGAACAACCCGAGTGTCTGACTGGGGTGAAGAGGATCATGAGGACCCCCAAACAAAAACCTGAACCTGTTGAGGACCTGAGGGGGAAGATTTTGAAAACTCCAAAGCAGAAACCTGAACAACAAGAGTGCCTCACTGGAGTGAAGAGAATCATGAAGACTCCTAAACACAAGATTGAACAGCAAGAGTGCTTCACCGGAGTTAAAAACATTTTCCAGACCCCAAAACAGGAAGCTGAACCTGTTGAAGACCTTAAAGGAAATCTTGAATCTCTTGATGCTGGTGATGTGAGCTCTCCAGTGCTGTGTCTAGAAAAAGGTCAGTTGGTTAAGTTTTAATAAGAATAATGTTTGGGTCACAAATGACAGTGGTTATAAAACTGCAATACACTGATGAGATCATTATTTAAAGTTTGTATGTTTTTTTTCTGTTTCTCAGAACTAGACTTTGTCAATGAGGAGCTACAAGAAGACAAACCATCAGAGGTGATCGATGATGTTCCCCAGCTTGACTCAGCCAAAGGTAAGTTTAATTAAATCTTGTAACCTGGAAACAGCTGGGAATTAATCAATTTTAATGTTAATCTCAATTTAATTTTTATCATTAGCAATGCGCCCAAGTTCTAATATATATTAATATAATGCTAATGCATTGTGCTGAAACATTGAGGAGGTGTAACACATAACTGATCAATTTGTGGAATGTTTGTCATTCTTTGCTCCTAAAGAATTTAAATCTACAACTTCAATTCAGAAGTCATTTTTGCCATATCATCATCAATACCAACAATATTGATTTTGACAGATGTGTTTTCTGAAGCTGAGACTTGGAATGTCTGCATTGCTGTTGATCTTATGGAATTAAGTCTTGATTGGTTATCCACACCGAATATCACGTTTGAACCCCAAAATATCCAGAACTATAAAGTTGTTTCTCCCCGAATATGATCCTTGCTGTGTAAACCTAATGCATGTATATCGGCTAGAAACTCAACTTGATTTTGTGTTTGTCTTATTTTAGAAGCTGTTTCAGATGAAGATGTCAGTGACACGAAAGAGGAGAAAAGTGAAAACTATAATGACTCATCAGAGGTCATGGAACCCATCTCTCAGGCAGCTGAAGATGAGGGTTTACCTGAGGAGCAACCCGAAGTGGACGCAGTTGTTGAGAATCTGTCTGAGGAGCAACCCGAAGTGGACGCAGTTGTTGAGAATCTGTCTGAGGAGCAACCCGAAGTGGACGCAGTTGTTGAGAATCTGTCTGAGGAGCAACCCGAAGTGGACGCAGTTGTTGAGAATCTGTCCAAGGAGCAACCCCAAGTGGACACAGTTGTTGAGAATCTTTCTGAGGAGCAACCCGAAGTGGACACAGTTGTTGAGAATCTGTCCAAGGAGCAACCCGAAGTGGAGGCAGTTGTTGAGAATCTGTCCGAGGAGCAACCCGAAGTGGACACAGTTGTTGAGAATCTTTCTGAGGAGCAACCC